TTGGACTTTGAGCCCAACTTCAGGATCTACGTCAAAGTGCCTGGTGGATTAATGATCAAACGTCACGTAAATAGAAATGACCTCGTGTCCGAGTTGAAGTGGTCTATTGAGGACGTTACAAAGATTCCTGTCGCCTTGCAGGCACTTAGCTATGGCTCCTGGTTGTTGGAGGATAGCGTAAGGCTGGGCGATTACAACATTCGGCGAGGCTCAGTGGTGCATGTATTGCGAAGACCCAATCCTGCTCCGATCTCCGAAGTCGGTAGTCAGTCCCCACAGTGTCGAACTCTTGCTAGGGACGAAGTCGACTCCAGGGCTGACAGCGGATTTGGTGACCTGCTGGTCGTGAAACCTTCACCACTGAAACGATTACCAGTTAGTAAGGTTCCCGAATCCGTACCCATTCTTGACGAACCAGTACCCGTATCAGCGAAGGAAGAGGATGAAGAAAAAGAAAAGGTGGAGGAGCCTGATCCCACACCAAAGGTCACCACTCCACCCTCAGAACCCAAAGTTGAGAAAGGCGAGAGTCTTCGCCTTAACCTCCCCGAAACTGAGGTCTACCGCAATTTTCGTCAAGCTCTAAGTGACCGCATGGTTGCCCAAAAAGAGAAACCGAACTGACACCAATACCCGACGAACAACAGACTCCCCAGACGTGTACAAAAGATGCTAATCTTGCGAAACGGTTTTCTTTTTCTAGATTGATTAGCCTATAAATGATTAATTTCAATCAAGATAGCAATTTTGTGTGAGGACTAAACTGCGCATAGTCGGCTTCAGCAACAAAGAGAAATGAATTAGCTTGAGTAAATGTTATACCAGACACACCTAAGTAGAGGATTTGCCAATTTTAGATGATGAGAAATAAAGTACAAAGTTGAGAGGTGCCGCTACCAGGTCTTGATGTGATGAAAGCAGACAAGAAGGTGTGTTCTTCAGACAGATGCCAAACAAGCAGGGGAACCAATTACTTGTAAGAGTACAGTCGTAAAACGGGCATGTGAATGATGGTTTTTATTTACAAGGTGTTATATAGGTGGTAAATTATTTCACTCGTTTTCTTGTTGATTGATCTGAAAGGAAGAAGAAAATTGTGAATTTGGTAGTCAGCTAACAAATAATGTCAGCCTTAATAAGTCTGGTGTGCAGACTATCCTCTCACAGGTAAGCTAGATGCAAGTCGTGACGGACCAAGTCCCCCTATTATCATCAAGATGGATCTTGAGAATGTGGGAAATTTCCTTCGCAGTGGGCATACGGCACTAAGCAACCATGAAGAGATGAGAGAGTT